CTTCGTCCAGAGTCATAGGCTCTCCCAGCTGCTTGAAGAAAGCCCTACCAGAGCCTAGCTCGCATTATTGGACTCGTGCATCTGAACTGATACCGTGACATCCCGCTCGCGGGGCTGCCGATGAACTGCGCCTCTATTTTCGACATACCGCTTGCAACCATCCACCTTAGCAGCTCGCTTCAGACCACGCTATCGTCAAGCGACAAAACGACCCGCACCAATAGCTAGGTATCGAGGCAAGGATTGCTCGCTTCTTCAGATACGATGAGATAACAGACTCTCATCTGTACACGGTCAAATCCGGATTGCGGTGCAATTGTGTACGTAGTAAATTGAAATTGTGGATGATGGCTTTCTTCGTTGCCTATTCGTGAGAAAATGGGAAGGTTGACACGCCGAAATCAATGCGATTCTAGAACAAATGTCGTGATGAGCAGCACGTCAACTGGCGTGGAAGTCCCCGCATGCTTTTGGCGAAACTCTAATTAAGGGGACAAATTCGGTAGCATCCGCGCCCGATTCGGGATGGGGGATGATGGAGACGACATGGGCCCTCGTGGGACTCTTCGTGGGACTGCGTGGCCGTGACTGGGGTCTACCTTGACATGACTCTCCAGCAACCAGAAAACCTGCAAGAGTCCTGGTTCTCTCCTGCACAGTCAACAAGTCTAACGTTCCAGATTTATTTCTGGCCTGCAACGTCACGCCCCTGAGCTTCCTCAATGAAGAATCCCCTTTCTTGGCATCCCAACACGTGCCCGCTCTTATTCGATCATATTTATCAAATCATTAATTGCCATCTGTTTATCCTCTTTGTGCTCGGATACCGCGGAATGATGTTTGCTGGATGATCGTTGTCTTGCATACTCTGGAGATGGGCGTTCTGCTATTTTTGACCATCAGGGTGGTGATGTCGATATGAGTACGAGGTTATGTGTCATGCTATAGCCATAGATATGTTTATTCGCATTGTACGATGTGCAAGCAAGCATTGGTCTATGCATTTTCTCCCTTTCTCCATCTCTTCATCCCTATCTTTTTCTGCTAGGCACAAGTCAATGCCTCCTTCACATTTCCGTCTTGGTCAAGGATAGACGTGGTTGCTGCTGGCCGCAAGGAACGGGTGGTGGACAATGCGCCGAAAACGTGAAAACGTGTTGACATTACTCGTAATGCGGAAATGTTGTCCACATCGAGGATTTCCCTCTTTTTTACTTTCGGGCGGAGTCACGCGTCCGCAACTCAGAAATTCTGGGGCCGCGCACGTGTATATTCGGCCGATCGGTCGCTGTCTGGACCCGAACAGTCTGACCCGCCGTGGGCAGACAAACTGACTCGGTGAGCCCGACCATTTGGCCGGTGCTGACGCGGAGGAGGACTCGGAGGCAGAAGTCTACTATCGGTTTCAATGACGGGCAGAATTGAACACGAGCACCTTTATGGGTCAATATGTTCTTATCCTTGGGATGTTCTTCCTATACTACATGAGATACAGGGGATTCATAGGTATTAGTTCTCAAAGTTGAGATTACCTCTGTTCTACCTGAGCCAAGTTTTGGCCCTTGCAATTGTGGAACAGATCAGCTGAAGGCTCCAGTAGAATCATCACATCACCATCTAACCAGCGTCATGGACGGAAGTCAATCGCCGATCAACTCACTAAGGCGCTCCGCTATGCGATCATTCGCCGTCACCAGACTACAAATCCGAGATTATATTGAAGTGCGAGATTCTCGGTCTCAACTTGTTTATCGTGTGTTTTGAGTCAGTCTTAACGCAGTTCTATTGGGTGAGAGACTAACCAATACTTCTGCCCAGAGTTCATCAATCTTAGAACTATTGGAAGGCTTCACGCAGGTCGCGCCAGTAACTTGATAGCTTGCGATCATGACTCAAGCCATATCAAGCGCGTTATGCGGGATGATATCGTGGAACGTCGAAAATGAGACGAACACCCCACGCTGACTTGCGGACATGACTCTACCATCTTGAGATCGACAAAGCTAGGCACGGATATATCATCGCACTTTCCCACTCGATGGTGCATTCATGGTTGTTGACACTGTTTCATCAAGGTTCCCAGTGAGTCAACATCATCTCATAGCAACTTCCAGGAATCAGAGCGAAAGTCTTTCCATGGATCCCAAGGACATTCTCGTGAGGCTCGAAGGGTATCGTGTCTTGCTGCAGATTACCTTGATGCCGTGTTTTGATTCGGCTTTGACACACAAGTCTGAACGTAAGGTTCTCCATGGCGTATGACTCTGGGAGGCTTGACCTCAAGACCTCTTCAAGTTGTGACAAGGATTTTGACAAGGAAGATGACGAGTCAAGTCGTCCAGGCGACGACATAATTTGAATGAAGATGATGGAGAAAAGAAATCAACAACGATGGAGGAGTTCTGCGATGCAAGTTCACAAGCGCCGTGGTTTGACACAGGCAAGGTGAGTCCGGGATGACATTTGATATCAGCGTTCTCGATATTAGGGTCTGTATGGTCTTGACTCGTTAGACCCAAAAAACCCTAAGCCTATTTATTGATGTGATTTGGCTGCAGCTTGTGAGTATTCCAGTCCCTACGACACCCCAGAAGCTTTTGGCTCACGATGATCGGCTCTATGCTTGCCACAGGCTATGGCATAACAAAAGGAATCTGGTGCGGCGTCATCGTTGATTCTATGTCAGGCGACTGTATACGATAGAACCATTAGATCTTATGATGGCAATATCTCATTAGAAACTCGTCCCTGGGCTTGTGGATAGTGGTTCGCTGAATTTGAACTGACCGGAGAGGAGGGGCCAAACCAAGCCGGAGCACCAAAGAGACCACAAATGTGATAGACACCGCTCCTAGTATCTTGACTATGCTATGTTCTTAAGCAGACCACCAATGTTGATTATTTAAGCAACAACACCGGCTCATTTGTCCCTCCACATTAGCACGCATCATACATCAGCACGCCTTGTTTTAGCCGGTTTCATATTTGCATTGAATATCACGGTGTTACAAGTTGAAAATAAAATGTTGTTTCTTAATTTGTATTATTAAGGCTACTTCTGATAACTCCTGCTCAGTCCGAAGCTGTGTCTGTGTAATCGATTTGGGCGTTGGTTGATATTGTTGGTGCATTCTGGTTTGGTGGAGGGCGCCGGCCTTCTCATTGTGGGCAGACTTGAAACCTCGCATCGTGGATAAGGGCGATCAGAAGAAAGCCCGTAATCGCGTTGAGTCGATGACTCGGAACTTGTTGGTGCATCCGCCGCGCTTCTGCGAATGCAGCTTTGCTTGGTAGTGGTTCGACATTGTATGTGTGTATGCGATGAAGCCTGGTACGCCGCGGTGGATACGGCCGAGAGTACGCGTACTGATACCAAAAGACTTTTGAATATAGAGACCTTGGTCTCCTGAAGCTCTCAAACACTTAGGATTCTCCCTGTGTGATCTCACATCTCTCGTACTCGGCCCTGGAGAATTTCCTGTCTATCTCCAGAAATGATGCCTCATCCGGACATCCCCTTGGCCGACTTCCAACATCCAGCGTTCCATGATGCCCCATACCCACCATAATCCCAAGCAAATTTCAAGGGCAAAGAATGCTTCTGAGATGGTGACGCGGGAGTCCTTGATGCATGTGGACATTGCCAACAGCATGAAGAAGATAAAGCTGATGATAAATAGACACGCGATGCCCCCCACGCAGAAGCTATCAGTCATACTGTCTCCGACGTCGCTTGTGATTCGTATGCTGTCCGGTAGCCACAGCGCGGTTTGGATTTGTTGAAGGCATCGTACGAAGCTTGTCTTGTAAGGTAAAAACAAGTACCTGAGTAGTTTACGGAGGGCGACATCGAAGATGTAGTAGAAGCCTCCGTTGACCCATGAGTCGGACTCGACGCTTAACATGATATAATCATCCAATTCAGCCATCCAAGCGTCGTCGGCCATCTTGAAGGACTTCTGAGTTTATCGGGGGGATTCCTCTACGAGTTCGACGAATCCAGGAGTATGACGTGTGATTTTGGGTTAAGATCAAAGACCGGGCGGGAATTCAGAAGAATGGTAGTGATGATGTGGGTGACTGAAGGGTCTGGTGAATGGTGACCAAGAGGACGGAGAGTCACACTTATCTTCCAGGCGTGTCTCTTAGGTATACGATGCTGCAGATGCATCGGAGATAAGAAATGTTAACTCCAAAGTTTGCTCAAAGCACTCCGGAACTCGAACTTAGGTCGTCCACTGAATCACTCACCTTTACGGACACCTTTGTGGTATGCTCGGAAGAACGGCCATCCGGCTGTGGATGGGTACATACCTAATGTCGAGTGAATCCTGACATTGGACTTGCCGGCTGCGGAAAGACGTAAGCTGTAAACAGGCAGCAGAGATAAGGCCGACGGGGCTGGTCCTGCTAGGATTGTTCTCATCACGGCAAGACACGGGTTGAGACTCCCCGATGTACTCCTGCTAGGCACTCATGGCATTCACAGCTTCTGAACGTGGACATCTGTTGTGGTTCATGAAGTAAGAACATCCGATGACAAGCAGGCACTTGATGGCAAGAGAGATAGGAGCGGATAGCCGTGTGAGATTGCCTGCCCCAGCAAGCGTCAATGTGGACAGCTTGTGGAATGCAGTGCCAGAATCATAGATCAGCATCGAAATCAAGAAGCGGAAGGGAAACCAAAGACCACCATTATCGCATCAAGATAGTGGCAAAGGACGGACTCTGACAGAAATGCTAAGAGGATCTGGATTCTACGACCAGAAGCACGAAGGTACTCACACTATCTACGACAACCCTAAGCTGTGTGACAGGGGACCCCCTCACCACTGTCATTGTATGTTGGCCGATACAGGAGACACGGGGGATCGGGCGGATGCATGGGCGTGGAGCAAATCCATCATCGTTGTCAATCCCATCTCCCAGATGCAAAAGCAGTTCTTGGTATGCCCTGTGAGGGATCATGGAAGCCATGATGCTCACATGCAAGAAGTTAGTCAAAGCCACTGTGGAGAGATACGAAGGGGGAAATACCTACAAATGTTGTGTCGGGCTGTCCAAACCCATTGGTACATGTAAGAACAGCCCTTGAACCCCCGGAGCCCAACAATATAGGCCACATTCATCCTGGAGGTATCGTAATACCAGGAGCTGAGGAGACAAAAAGGAGAGTCCCAGGAGTCCTAGAACTCGGAAAGATAGGCCACAGCACCCTGGAGGTATTGTAATACCAGGAGCTCAAAAGAGAAAAGGTCCAAAAATTGTCGGGAAAGACGAGATTTGATGACAAAAATTAAGCCGATAAGACTGACATCACGCGCTCGATTTCACGTCGGGTGACTGAGAGCAGTGCGTCCACCATGCGATTGCAAGCAGCGCGATGAGGAAGACTGGGAGGTATATCGCAAACCGGAGTGTGACCTGGTCTTCGAGCCCCGAACTCTCCAACTCGTGTCCACTGGCATCCCGAAGGAAGGCGATCCCGGCCCGCGTGAATCCGGCAATCCGGTGGAGGGCCTCGCCACGAAGGCGGGCTAAGAGGTAAAGAAAAGCGCTGTGAAGGTAAGGATGCATCTCGAACGCTGCTGAGTAACGATCGTAATGGATGGATGCGGATGAAGAAGAAGAAAAGAAGAGATGAATGGAAATGGACGGTTGTGGGATTAAATGGATTGGTCGGAGCATCTGGCGTGATGCATCAAAGGGAAGAGCCTTTCCTATGCTGCTGCCTTTTCGATGAAATGCACAATCGAGGACAGGCAACGGAGGATAATTGAGCATGTAACGGCAAACGTCCCCTGCCGAGTTGGGAACATCGTGCCTCCTCAATGAGACTTTTAGCATCACTACGAGCATCGCAATTGCCCAATCTTCAATATATTCGTCGGTACATGTTCTTTCTGCAAGCCTTGGCCGTTGGCAAACTTCCCTCGGTCATGAAGACTATGATCGTGGCTTCTTCATTGCCCATCGCCATAGTCAATTAAGCCGCCTGCCACACGATGCGCTGATAAGGGGCAGTCTACATCACTGGACAAGAAGAGAAGGAGGGCTCGGTCTCAGCCTATCCTCCCGTTGAGAACTTCCTGCGTTACTGGGCGAACCACGAGAGGTCATTACTGTAGGAACCGCAGTGTGCACCTCCCAAAAGCACTTGGTCTTTCATCTCCTTCCCACATCATTTATCATTTGCACTTGACGAGGGGACTTCCCGCACTCCTTCCAAAGCTCGCGAAAGGTTGAACCTTGTCTTCCCCCAATCGCGTCGTGACAAACCCGTCGACCAGGCAGGAAAGAGACTGGCAGACGACATGTCCAAAGTTGACCTTCGAGGAAGAAGGGGACTTAGTCCAGGTATTCATCATCATTAAGAAGCTGGAAATTCTCTGTCACATTTGCCTTGTGGTTTTTCTCTAAGATATCGGCAGGAGACACCATGCAAGGATCACCTGGGTGATCAACTACCCACTCTTGTCCTCTGCACCAGCTTGATTCACGAGCGCTGTAAGACTTGCGAAGCAGAGCCAAGTATAGTACTTATCTATCCATTTTTGATGATGATCTGCGAACTTGCATGTCCAAGCACGATCATGAGGTTGTCAAGCGTGTCTGATGTCGTATATATTGACGATATGTCATCACTGAGCCGCAAGATTACACATGATGTTAGCAGGCTCCGGCGCCGAAATCATAGTTTTATCTCGTACGATTCATTGAATAGGATATATAAGCAGCCGTACTTGGGTTCGATAAGCTTAAGCAAATGGTTTTGCGGACTGGATCAGTCCCCTCTTGAGATCTGACAATGAATTGCGTTCTGAGATAGAAAACAGATTCACAATCTTTGCATTTAAGGTATGGGGACCAGATTAGGATCCTAGGAGTACGCCAGAACCCCGTCACAGAGTACTGAAGGTTTCACAATGTAGTCAAAACCGTGAAATTATAGTACATCTGATATATCTAGTGAGCTAAAGCATTGCACGTATTCGAGTACTTCCATGTGAGAGCAAAACCGATGCCCATTGCGAATAGGAAGAGAACCAAGTACTAATACGGAACCGGCTCCGTAGATCAAGTATCAAGGTCAAAGTGATGGCAGTCTTCCGGCTGAGCTTGAAATCCTCAAATGTATGTAGCTTTCGGTCTCTTGTCCCATCTTGAAGTTTCAAGAGTCCTGCAACAAAGCACATCCTAGCAATGATGGTGTAAAGAAGGATATGGAAATGCGGGTGTCTCTCATGGGGGTTTGAATTTCTGTGAGATCGAAAGTCTATGTAGGCTTCGTCTCGCCGGACCCCCTCCTTTCAAGTATTGAAGAGGATACACCCTGTCGCTCCTTGTCATGTCACAAAAGATGACTGAGCACATAGCATCATACAACTAAGTAAGCATAAACAACTATTCAAAGAAGCGAGGAGAATCCAAGTTGCAGAAATATTTCTTCTGTTGATCCAAGCGCTAGGGGTGATGCCCGTTGACACCGAGTAGACAGATGGATGGTTTGCAGTCAGCGAAGCATGCTGCAGTACGTGTGAAAGCTTTCGGAATATTTCTTCCGTTGACTTACTAAAATATGTTCATCAGCACGGCCACTTGGTTGTTCGAAGCAAATCTAGGGATCGAAGTCTCTCTTCCAGCCACATGCAGGCTTGTGGGTGTGGTCAAGGTCCGTACTGGAAAGAATCCTACTAAGGTAGTTCAGTTGTCGTCACGCGAAAAGAAGGACGTGCTGGTGTGAACATTCAACCTTGTATATCTCCTGAATAAAGGAACTGACAAGTTTCGGATATCGCGAATATCGACGAGTCTTTTCGTTCACCGTTGCAGACTTAAAGTACAACTGATCTGACAACAGCTAAGGAGAGATAGGCAGTCTTGCCCAAGAAGTATGCGAGTTTTTGGATACGGAAATGATTTTCCACCGACGGCAGCCGGACGTCTCTTCATATGAAAACGCGGATTGTCTATCGTTCGTTCCAGCTCTCTAATCTTGTGATCAGTCGGTCCTTCGAATCCTCATTCCTCTTTGGGGGTATTTCCGCAAAGTGGAGCAGGTGATGTGCCGGATACCCGAGCGGCAGCCGTTGCGGCACAGTCGCGTACGGCGAAATCGCCATCCCGTCATCCAGATCCCGAATGGCGGAGACGTTACGCTACGCTCGAAGTGTGCCTTGAGTCCGAGATATGTCAAGCATTCAGACTTATCGATCCCATAAACGATTGGACCCATGGCATCCCCCCAGGCCTCGGCTTTGCCTACACACCACCATGTCAAGTCTGCAATCATCTGCAAACCCCTGCCTTGGCGGCGTGGTGCCAAGTAACCAACCAACACCAGCGCAGCATTTTGCTTATCCGCCGGCCGAGTCCCCGCAGTGCTAAGCTTTCCCGGCACTTATGTTTAGCCCGCGCGGATAGCGCCATACCTTAAGGCTACTCTTAAAAGGAAAGTGGTATTCGCAGGCGGATCCCTGGATACAACGGTCAACACCAACGGCTTTCACGATGATTCCGGATAAGGGAGGAGCTCAGTCGACGCTGGATGCACTTCGATGCAACAGCGTGATTCTCCATCACGCTCTATGGCTTAACCTCCATTTTCAAAAAGTTCCTTCGGGAAACACGGCATCGCGATATCTACTGACCTGCGAGAAGCAGAATAGCGGCTTCATTGCATCGGGAGGCCGGGACAATGGCGTGAGATATTGGCTGCCGGATGGCCGATGTCGATGTTGATTAAAACAAGCATCACAAAGGATATAAAGATGGGCAAGATTCTCGGCCAAGAAGAAAGAATTTAGAACAGCATCGCCAGCATCAACCCCAACAAGCCCCTTGCCATCTCACCGTCGGTCTCATCCCATCAATCCTCATCTACTTCACCAGTCAAGATGAAGTTCTCCGCTTTCGTCCTCGCCGCCGCTGGCATTGTCGCCGCCGCCCCCGGCACTCAGCTCGTCCAGCGCAACTACTCTCCTCTCACCCCTCGCTCGTCTCGCTCCCGCTACAACTCTTCTCCCATCAAGAGACTCTCCACCGAGGCCGTTGAGACCCTTGAGAAGACCTCCGGTGTCAAGAACGTCGACTACTCCAGCAACTGGGCCGGTGCCGTCAAGATCGGAACCGGATACAACCACGTCACCGGTACCATCACCGTTCCCGAGGTCAGCGGCTCCAGCGGCGCCGCCGCCTCCGCCTGGGTCGGTATCGACGGCGACACCTGCCAGACCGCCATCCTCCAGACCGGTATCTCCTTCTACGCCGACGGCACCTTTGACGCCTGGTACGAGTGGATCCCCGACTACGCCTACAGCTTCTCCGGCTTCTCCGTCTCCGTCGGCGACCAGATCAAGATGACCGTCGACGCCTCCTCCAAGACCAAGGGTGTCGCCACTCTCCAGAACCTCACCACCGGCAAGACCGTCACCCACACCTTCACCAGCACCCCCTCCTCCCTCTGCGAGACCAACGCCGAGTGGATCGTCGAGGCCTTCGAGGAGAACGGCAGCCAGGTCACCCTCGCTGACTTCGGCACCGTCGTCTTCACCGGCGCCGCCGCCTCCGGCTCCAGCGGCTCCACCACCCCTGCCGGTGCTGATATCATTGATATTTCCCCCAACAGCGGCCGCACCATCGAGGCCTCTGCCTCCGTCAGCGGCAGCACCGTCACCGTCAAGTACGTCGGCTAAATGTCTACTCAACCGAGTACATATAACGATGAAACAGCAATCACCCTACTACAAGGTGGTCTGATACAGGGTGGGATCCTGTAATCATGGGGTTGCGGGGAGTGGCGAGGGGTAGATGCTTGGTTTTTCCTATTCTATGTCGAATGGGAAGCATTCCGCTCCTTTTTGGCGATTGATGGTTGACATGGTGTTATGACGCGGTCTTTTGACCATTCATCTTGTGCATATTGGATAGCTTCCACAGTAAATAACAGAACATATTCTGCATTTGACTCTTCCTTTGCATCATGCATTGTATCAAACATGAAAGAATTATTCCTGGTTGGCCTAGCGATCAATTCATTGCCTTAGAACTACGCCTCCTCAACACTTATGCTACTGCGACAGTGATTTGAAGACTGCTTAGATCCTCCCGGCAGTTTTTTCGAAGGATGCGTACCCCAGAGATCTCAGGAAATCCTACTTGATTCGCTCAGGCACGACATTAACAAGTTGAGATAAAGTTCTGACGCCGCCATGTACTAACGAACCTTGATTAGGAGGTGCCAAATGATTCCCCGTTTACTCCGGGTCTGCCCTAAAGTCACACCAGCATGGACGGAAGGATAAATGAAACGGAGAATCAACTATGCCAAGTTCGATGCTTTCCTCGCGAAGATGTGGGCTAAGACTTCAAGTGTGATTGGTGATATGTACATGAATAATCTAAAGGATGCTGCAGAATCTCATTTTACAACCCACCACTTCATCCTCACTTGTTCAACATCTCAGAGTCACAATCTCTGTGGACTCGTAACTTTGACGAGAGTGCAAGAGCTACGAGGCCTAGTAAGGCCACTGGAAAGTGGTAGAAATGTTCACAGACCAAGGCGCACCAGCAGACAACGAGTCCACGCGACGAAGCATGAACTCGCTGTGTCTGAACGCCACGCTAGGGGCATATTGAGGAACCATGTGGCCACTAATCTTGGCAGTGGAATGAGTGAAGCCGCGCTCAGTGTGAACGGATCCTTGGACATTAGCACCGGCCCAGCTCGGAACGTTTTCGTCGACGTTGTTGACTGTAGGGATGAGGAGATCCTCTGAGGGCTGCTTCTGGAATCCCTGCTCGCCGTTCCACTTGATGTACTGAATAGCGAGGGTGGTGACATTGGGCTTGATAACGTAGTCCGCCAGACCAGAGCCGACGTGAACGTTGTTCGTGCGCTCCACAAGGGTTTGGAACTTCTCCTCGTGCTCAGTGCCGTTGTAGTTGTCATTGTAGTCGACGAAGACGGGGTCCTGGCACTCGCTCCATGTAGGGTAGTCCACAGGAACGTGGATCGCCTTCCTAACTTCGGGTCTGTTGAAGTACAAGGTGGTATTGGGAGGGCTGTACATGATGGATGGGAAACCCAGAACATCCCAGAGAACAGGGCAGGTATCAAGGATGTGGTATCCGTTGAAGCAAGGGTTGATGATTGTCGAGATCGCGTCAAAGTGGGCAATAATATCGCACTCCTCCTTGACATTCGCTGCTGGCCAGGGACGCACAGGAGGCGGGTACGCCAAGTGCTTGTTGAAGTACTCATCCAACTGACAGTTCTTGGCGTCTTGCTCGATCTGCTTGTCGGCACCGCTGGGAAGCGCGAAGACGTTCTTCCAGTAGCGATAAAATGACGGGAAAGCGGCGTGATCGAAGTTCATCGCGTCATCGTAAGGCATGACTGGGTCGTAGTAGACCGCGCCCTTGACGTCGAAGTAGCTGGTGTCGTTCTTATCGAGCATGGCGGCGCCGACATAAGGCACGTAGATACCGGCGTAACTTTCGCCGGCAATGTAGATCTTCTTGCCTTGCAGGTCGAAGGTGTTGACAAAGTTCTTCCAGAAGCTGACAAACTGGTCTGCGGTCTCGGCGTTGTCTGTGGCAGTGACATTGCCGCTGCTGAATCCTGTGCCGATGGGGTACTCGACCCTTTCAAGAAAGTTTTAGTACCGTTCTCTTGTGCTCAAGCAGTTCAGGATTTCTCACCAAATCACGTTGGCCAGCTTATGCCATGACCAAGCATTGGCGATAGGCTTGATGGTGCCATACTGCCACAAGAACGGGCCGTTCTCTTGAAGAAAGCCTGTTGTTGAACATTTAGCAACTCATCCTGAGAGAGTTACAGGATTGGGCTTCACTGACCTTCCATGGAGGAGCATCCCGGGCCACCATTGAACCAGATAATGACATCGTCCTTGCCAGCAGGGTTCTCGGTGGGGAAGAACCAAAAGAAGTTCTTCTGCTGCTCACTCTCGGGCTTCGAAGCATCGACCGGAATGAGACCGGCGTAACTCTCGCCGACATCGAAGTCAACGTCCGGGATTCCGGTTCCGTCAACGTAGAAAGCTATGGCTTTGGTGTCAGAGAAGTACCCAGATTGAATAGCACAGAACATATCATACCACTGGTCTTGTTGTTGAAGTACTGCAAGGTGCTGCTGCGACGCATAATCGCCCGTGGTGGAGCTTGCACCTGAGCATGACCAGGAGCGACGCGACGGAGCGGACTCCGGTGCGACTTTGGCGGTGCGTAGGCGGAGATCAGCGGCAAGCTGAGCGCAGCTGTCAGGCCGGCGATGAGACTTGATGTGCGCATCTTGAGGGTATGTCGTTGTCTGTGCCAAGATGTCAAGCTCCAGAGCCTCAAAGTGACCCTGCAGAGCCAAGAAGAGGCCAAGAGATGCGGAGGAACATGGCATCGCTATTTACATGTCGGTAGGTAGGAGTCCAGCGGGTATGGAGGCAAGTCAGGCGCCGGCCAATTGGGACGGACAAATGATACGAGATTTGATCATATTACGGTGGGTAGCGACTTGCCCCAAGGAGGCATGTCGATTGCTATGGCGCGTTCCCCTACTATAATTCTCTATTGCTCATTTGTGATCTTCACAAAACGCGCCGTCTCCCGTTAGCTACTGCATGAGGGATGGTTTGATTCATGTACAAATCAGGCAGGTCAATGGGAGAATCTGGGGCAACCAACTGATAAGAAGACAAAGTGCCGACATAGCCGGTGTCGGAGTGGAGAAAATTGAGATTGATGTCACCGTCTTGGGTGAAATTAGCAAAAGCTTGTTTTGTTACCCCACGGCCAGCCACGGACGTTGGACGGCTGTTCCGGTCGATGCACTGTCACTATCAACGGCCGACTTACTTATCAAGTCTAGCGTCCAAGCAAAAAGTTTCTATGTAGTCCGATTCGAAAACAAAACCATCAGCTCTTCTTCACAACCAACAGCTGTCAGATCAACGTGATGGTCACAAGTTCAGCATGATCGAACCACGTTTGGTCAATGACCTGTCCGACCCCAAGCCTCTTGAACCGTCTATCTGATCCATCTCCGAGGTCTGGCTCTATTTCTGACAGAAACATCACGTTGGAGCCGTCAGGCTTTTCGTTGAATTCGTTGTTCGAAATCTCAGCAAGGTAGAATGGCTCAGCCGGCCACTCGTTCAAGTCAAAGACCATCCACCCACCAGGCGTCATATCTCTTCCAGAAAACAACTTGGTATTCTGCGTCACGAATCCGCCGTACGTGATGGATCCTTTGGGATAGAATTCCATGAAGTAGTAGTCATCCCCAGATCGAGTAGATGGATCTCCTTCTCTTCGTGCCTCCCACTTCTTCAACCGGGCCGAAAACCTCCATGCGGACGCGGAGCCACTTGTCTTGACGCGATTCAGTTCACAAATACAACTTTTCGCCGCACGAGCTGGTGCGAGGAAAGATATAGCTCCAATGGTAGATGTCCAGGACCAATGGGGTTGGTCTCGAAGAGCGAGCGGACGAGTCAACGTCACTTTCGCGAACCAAAGCAGCTGAGTAAGTACGCAATGTGTATGAAACGCTTCGTGGAGCAGAGAGTCATCATGAAATACCCCAGAGGTGTATTCTTCGGCAATTCCTTTGCCAACCTCTGTAGCCAAGCCCAAGATTGCGACCGGCTTGTCCGACTCGTATGTTAGGCTTCTTGCAGCGTAGGTGGACACAAGATCGCACCAGTCTGCATAGAAACCTAAGATCTCTTCGTGATCTACTGTCGAGTCGCTTTTTGGTTTTGCTTCCTTAGCTTGCCGATATCGCCTGGCGCTTTCAAAGAGCCTCTGCTCATCCCCCGATGTCTCATTTTCACCATCCTCGCATTTGAGCAAGGTGCGACACGCCCAGACCATTCGTGCTTTTGTAAAATGAATAACACGAGGGGATAGCATCCATTCTTGAGTAATCCATGCCCGACTCCCGAGCGGGGTTTCGCTGACCGTGGTATCCAGCGCGTCAGGAAACAGAGTTGCCGACATGTATTCTCCTTGATCAGGTTCTCCGTAGGGAAGACGGACGACTGGTTGCAGTGGAGGACGCGGAACAAAGCAACCCTCGGAGCCGTCTCTGGCACCGGACGCGGCGACAGTTATTTCGGCATCTTTATAAATGCGCCCCATCTGAACTGACTCCTTGCGCCAGTCATCAGCGTCATCCTGCACGATGCATAGACTATCAATCCAGAGGTAACGTAAGCCGAGAAACCGTACAATCTTGATGGCATCTTGGAAGGTCCTGGGTAGACTGGCGAACTTGATGACGTTACAATGCTGAGCTAGGTTGTGGGATGTAGTTGTCAGGATTCTTTGCTTTCCCCAGCAATGGCTTAGAGCGGCATAGAAGGCATGGACTCCGTTGGTAACCAGGAGTTTCGGCTCCTCTGATCCATCAGCCGGGTTAACGTCAAGGACCCTAGTGGGCAGTGGTGGCATAATGTTTGAGCCACTCTTTGCCAAGGAAGTCTCTGGCCCAGTAAATGCCTCGTTGCAATCCTTGTGATTGGTTTTGCAAGTGTCGTACCAACGCTGTACCAGCCCGAATGCCTCACTTGAGCCGGAGTTCGTCAATAGCCTCGTCCCGATGACGTCTTGGTTGCGGGCAGGTGCGCTATCTGTGATATGAACATCTTAGCTTATCTTGGCAACTATGGACTTGTTTGTCTGTTGGAGCTCTTACTAGGATCCGAGAATAGACTCATCTTGACCAGATCATAATCGTACTCAATGTCTGGGATATGCACATTGATCCCGAACAACATTGGAGGCTGCACACCGTCTCCAGGGGCGTCCTCTGCCGTATCCAATCCATCGCCGACACCAAACAAGTACAGAGGTTCAGGCTTCGTGTTCGTGCGAAGTTGTTCGTCCGACTTGGGAGTCCTGCAATCCTGGTCCATAGCCAGGCGTATGAGCCTGCAAAAGTCGCATACCTTGGCCAAGTGAATGAGGTCGTGTGCACTATCGATATGGCGATATCCATCAGGCTGAGCCAAGGCTTGCGGGGTAATACCCTTGCAAGCGGAGCAGAGAGCCGCCATTGTTGAATTTGTCAAGGCCAGCCGGGAATTGAACAAGTCTCGTTGATGGAATTTGCAATACTCGAAGAAAATGACTGAGCTCTAAACGCTGTGTTCTTGCCATTGTCGTGGGGGTGCGGTCAGAGTGCTTGCGCGATATTCTGCAATCTCTACATGTATTACAATATCTCCCAACCAGTTGGTGCCAATGTTCTATGCATGTCATCTAAGTCAGCCAAGCTGGAACCCTGTTGGCTTAATATCGCCAAACACGCGTCGTAAAGTGGAGCCACGATGGGGTCGTCCCCCAGCCTCCTCATACTCGTTGTGTTTTGAGACTCACATCCGGGCTTTTCAGTCCAGCGATGTTTATCAAAATACTACATATGCCTCATCTATCTCGTTCCTTTCAGCCGAATGATAGGATCGTTACAAAGTTCCGCATGTCGGATCTGTATCTTGCCGGCTTCGTATGAAATGGATGAGTCCGGGCGAAGAACCCAGAACGATTGGCGACTCATGGGTTGACGCAAAGATTATCGGCGAGAAGATGCAATACATCCGAACGCTTGAAGAAATTTCTTGAATACAGGCAGAGAACGGTTTGAGTAGATTGTTTTAGAGGATTATTGCGACTCTGCTGCTGGTTTTGGTGACATTGGACTCTTCTGCCTTTTTGCTCAAGCCGTTCAAGGTGCGATTGAAGATTAAACAGTCCGCGACAGCGGAGCCAACACCAACAATAGCAAAGCAAGATTCGTCCCTAGCATTGAGTTAGCCAGTGTTGCCGTAAGTACAGTCAAATCAACCCTAGGCCTAGAATCTATTTGATAGGTCGTAATACTTTAGATATTGGGTGACTTGATCAGTTGGGATGGATAATTACTTAGAATTGCGTAATCAAGGACAACTTTGACATCTATACTTATCCGAGAATGCATGTTTGTCAAAGAGAAAAGAACAATAAAATAAAATCAAAGGATGGTTGTCTTTGTTACGTGGCTTATTTCTACAAAAGCTATGTGGAGTCCAACTTAATCAATCTACCTTAGGCAAGTCAATGGATTGAACCTCGGTATGAGCTCAAATCGAACCCCTTGGATCTTCATGGACACGTCTGATTTGGTTGGCTTCATTAAGTCGTGTTGATGAAAGCGCGGAGGCTGACGGGGTCCTGCGTCTCAAACTTTGTCATCTACCAATATTATCTCCATGTCATTTTGTCGAATTGAAAGTCTAATTCGACTACGAATCGCGGGCAGGGCAAAAGCCAATTGGAATCTCAACTAGACTCCGATTAACCCTCCAATCGACGGCTGGAACCTTCATTTTCCATACTACGCAAGATCAGTTGATAGATAGCAATTGACCCTTCGTCAACCACAGAGCCCAACGGTTCGAACCCACTACCCTGGGAAAGGGATACCAACACATCTGGAGTCTCGTCGTAGATGAAGCTCTGAGTTTCTTAGAATTAGTATGATTCTCTTCGGTTTCAGCAGAATCTTCGGTTTCCTTCACTTTCTCAAAGTTCCTTGCCATGCTTGGCAAGACCAACCACAAGTCAAGTGGCCGCATCACATCTGCTGGCGTTCCCGAAAATAGAGAGTGATCCGCGCCCTTGCAGAAGCTGAGAGCGAGATATATTCTCTAAAGCGGTGAGAATGAAACTTGAAAAATTACGAATGACCCTTCTAAGCCTGAGTGACTTCGCTCATTCTGGCAGTGAATCCGACAGGAGACTCGTGTCGAGTTATGATCAGGCGAGGGTGTCTGATATTGGCATATTTAGCTAGCCACAGGTCGAAACATCAACCTAGAGCTATTTTATTCCCACTGTATCTGACGGCTGTCGAGGTGATGTTCAGCGTGGCGTTTTAGTTACTTTTGTGCATTGCAGGGTCTAACTATTGCCCCATCTTGAGACATACCGAGCCCACCAGCGGGCTGCTCCCGTCGGGTAAGTACCCCGTACCTTATACCCACACCCGATCTCAGGAACCCCCCAATAGGTCAACTTCGCATCTAGCTGTACCAACGATGGAGCGACTACCGGTAGTAAGCCTACCTGCGTGCTTATGACTGACTGAATTTGCAGAAGATAATTAATATCACATCAATCTCCGACATTGCTTCATGTCTCATTGCCGCACTCTGGGCACCAGCCTGACTCTCCGTATGATGGCATCAATGTGGAACAGAAGTTGCAATCATGTCATCCAGAGAGGCAGTGAAAGCGTTTATCCTTGTCTCAATCTGTGCAAAGACGCTGGAGAAGCCTAGAGATCGAGAGACTTAGTCCACAATCTGATCCTGTCCACACACGCCAGTGCTCACCATTCATCACTCCATGCGGAACTCCTTGATTGATGGTAGTCGTCTATCGACATGAGTCTTTGTGTCATGAAATATGGACAAAAGTGACTGAGGCCCACTACTCTTTCGACTGTTCATCTGAAAAGGTTGAGAAGTATCCGTCAATCGTCACCGTCTCCAGCCTCCGAAGACAACAATCGGCTTTCCGTACACATTAAGCGGTGTGGCTTGATTATCGACGTTGTGGACTCATGTATATCTAATGCTGTTGGAAAGAGCGATCAGCGGCAACCAGGACAGGGGATGTATGTTTCCTCAAGGCCGGCATTTTCTTGAAGATCAGTTGTCAGAAGTGAGGAATTCCTTTGGGTACTTACAAAATGACCCCCTCCTTCGGCTAAGGTAGGTACCTATATGTCGATATCTCGGAAAGTCCATTGCTTGTGATTGAAGTGCAGCTATCCGCAGTTACGCAAGGTATCTCGGCACGCTCGGGTTGGAGGTACACCAACCACACTCCTCAACAAAGTGTCGGGCTGGGAAGGGGGGCGGATTGCTCACTTTCATCGGCGGGATGGGTGTTCACTATCGTTCCACAACGCTACCATTGCCAGAGAGGCATTGAAACAATCTGATGGAATGCGCATTTGGCGCTCTCCGCCTGAAAGGGAAAGTTGCGACCGACCAGTACCGCTGCAGCTGTCGGGCGTTATTTGGAGTTCTCCCATGCGGGAGATGGAACATATGGAAATGATTAGCGGGTTACACTACGCGGTCGGTCAGACGAGTCTGTCCTATCATATCCCTGTTCGCTTTGAGATGCTCAATTTCGATTAGCACGTTCAAATCAACCATCACCAAGCGTTGTTCTCGAACGACGTTGCTTGTTTGCCTTCAACATACAGGTTCCTTGGAAGAATTCAAGTTGCCAGGCAGAGGCGCACGAGAATCTCCCGATGAGTGTGCTTCCTGCGCGTCCATCCCCTCGTCCGTCTCTCCGTGCCTCTAAAAGAGCAAAGCCAAGAAAAAGAAACCCGCAGGGAAAGGTAACACACAGCCACACCATTGCAGCATACCCATATTGCTGTATTATAACACCATGATCTTGATATGAACCTTGAGATCTTAGGGCTATGAAATGACTTAGTCTGTCTCTTTATGGCACAAGCTTTCAAGTACGTGGTACTTAATCTGCGTGTCCACCTGTTCGTGCCCCTCGACTTTGTCTCTTCCTAAGAACTCATATCTCTACCAGTCTACTTCTCGCCTAGTACCTCCAAGTCCTCGGACAGAAGCACTGGAGAACAAACACCGTGCCATGGCGGAGAGATTGGATCAAGGCCGGAAGTCAGCACTGCTGATAGGCATCGACAAATACGACAGCGATGCGATGCCTGACCTTCACGGTTCCCTCTCTGATGTGGCTACCACCGAAAAGTTCCTCAATGCCGTTGCCGGCATCTCCAACATTACCAAGCTTACCTCCCCGCCGGATCCATCCAATGACCTGCTCCCAACCTTCGACAACGTCACCTCAGCATTCCAGACCCTCGCTGACAACGCTCAGCCCGGCGACTTCATTTATATTCACTATTCGGGCCACGGCACTCGGCGGCCCACCGTCTTCAAGGACCTTAAGCACGACACAGCTCTCCTTGACGAGTGCCTGGTACTCGCCCGTAGCGACCGATTGCTCGATTATCTCCGTGACGTCGAGGTCGCCTTTCTGCTCAAGCAGATAGCCGACAAAGGCGCGACTGTTACCTTCGTGCTTGACTGTTGCCACTCCGGTGGAGCCACACGGGGGGGCGACGGAGACATTGGGGTGCGGGGGGTTGAAGATATCCCGGAAGGGAGCTTCTTCAATTCTAATCGAAATCCCATTCAGTCTGTGGAGGATCTGAAAGATGCCTGGCGCCCGCTCTCAAACGACGTTGAGAACGCCGGTCGTGGCGGCAGTGTGGAAGAGCACTGGATGACGTCGTCCAAGGGGATCAACTTCTTCGCTGCGTGCCAGCCGGACCAGAAAGCGCAGGAGGTGTCGTTCAAACTGCCGTTGAAGAAGGGGCTGTTCACTGATTGCCTCAACCGTATCTTCAACGCCCTCGGAGGGGCAGATTGCCTGCCCCAGCTCAGCTGCGATGTCGTGTTCAACCTCGCTGCAGCGCAACTAGAGAACCACGAGCAAAAGAAACGGGCGGAAGAGCAGCAACCGGTATTTGGCGGCCAGGGAGACTGCCATATTTTTGGCATTGAGAGTGTGGTGCAACCGGCTGTGGTCATTACTAACGTTGAGGAATTGTTCAGCGGCAACATCAAGGTGAAGCTGACAGCTGGCGTGGCCCACGGCGTCATCGTGGATGACATCTTCGCCATCTACCCCAAAGACAGACAGCTTGACAGCCTTGCTGACTACACCGCACCGTTGGCTACCTGCATCGTGACTGCTGTGGAGTATTTCACCTGCACAGCGCACACCGAAGCTAAGGGTACTGACCTCAAACAGAAGAATGAGGTTCAACTCGGCTGCCAGGCTGTTAGTCAGCGCAGCATTTTGAAGGATCACATCCTGCAGCCTAGAAAGGTTTTGGTATCGGCTGCAGATGACAGTGCTGTGTCAGTGGCCCAGAAAGTCCGAGATTGCATCAGCCGGAGCAGCTTTGTCGATCTCGAAGACGACGGCGATTCCTTCTTCAAAGTGCTGGTGCAAAACGATGGCGGTTTCATCATCTCTTTCACCCCAAACCAAGCTGAAGCCAATGTCAAAGACAAAGGGAAGCCCGAAGATGTGCTCTCCCACTTGGTTCACCTAAGCATCTTCTACAACATTTTCAACCTCGCAGAAGACAACGCCGCGCATCAAGAACAAGACCTGACGGTTAGTAAACTCGGCTATCTCGATCAGGGCGTCAAGCCCCCTCCTCCGCGGCAATTCAAGCTGGGTGAAACCTCTCCCCTCCTCAAGGACCTCAAACTGTTCCCGATAGACTCAATCGACATTGTCACAGGCCAAGTTCTAGTTATTGAGGTGAGAAATACCTCGCTCGACAACGTATACGTCGAGATCCTGGACCTGGAGCCGTCGTGGCGGGTGTTACGGGCGTATCCAATGCCGAAGAGGAAGCCGATCATGACGACGCGAGGCCAGGGGACGCTCTTCTTCATCAAGATGTCACCATCGGAGAGGGTGGAAGCCGCTGTCCAGCCCGACACGTTCGACCGATTTGTCGTAATGACCACAACAGAGGGCCGCCTTAATTTCCGTAGAGATGTCCTCCCGGCGCTGAAGCTTGTTGGGCAGGAAGGACCTGGAATTGATAGCAACAGGCCGCGCGTATTGGAACCTGCTGATAGGAATGGTGGGAGGTCTGGGGATGGAGTTGAAGAGCCGCTGTGGTATGTACAGAAACTGGATGTACGGGTGGTCACGGAGGAATGAGTCTGTTGAACGTAGCGATGAATAAATTACATTCATAATTGAGCTGCTGTTGCTGAGAGTGAGCATAGTTCAACCTAGCTTCTTTGATCAAGTAGTAGATGATGTCAATGGACTAGTTTTAACGAGGTGGAACCTTGATCTCGGAACACGTTACGATGACTGCTTCTAGTATGAGCCCGATTATTTCGGCAACGCTATTGGTGATATGCCCCCCGAGGCTGGCTCAGAAGGTGTCAAGATGATATCAGTACCCTTGGAGGAACAGAACTCGGGCTGAGGCATGAGGCATTAGATGGAATTCCGTCTGGTTTGGGATGGTTCAACGAACAATAAGGACTGGCATGACTGTTGAGATGTTTGTTGCTTGTGGACCTGGTCACGAAGTCTTGGCTGCGTGAGCGGGCCGCTGCCGCTGGCACTAGCTATCTGTACACCCGACGATCAGAGGGTGCGGGGCATCTGATACATATGCCTTATTCGAACGACGGTTTTTGGTGGCGTACACGCTATTGATTCTTGCATATCAAATACGGATAGATGCTTCAGTAATTCAGGTAGCCGAGTACCTCAGGTATATCTAAGCACTTACGTAGTTAGCCGCTCGACGCGCGTTCTCTTTGTAACCCTGCGGCAAGAAATATCCCTGAAGACTCCTGCAGGAGACCAGCTCGCCACAAAACGTGACGGCACCTTATAGTCTGCATTGAGTGATCTAGGTCCTGCAAGAGAACCGAGCTGAGATGCAAGAGATATGTCATTTAAATGAGATAAATCATACAAGATAGATGGGACTTATGTCGAGATGGTCTGCTCTTAGATCATCGAATGCGGGGTGATCTGCCGTGTAAGGTGGACCGTATGTATGCAGTGATCAAGGTGGAAGGGACCTTCGAGGGTTGACGAGCTATTGTCGCTTGCGGGGTTTGTTTGCTTGTTTGTTGTTGAACATAGGTTTCACCCGTGAAGGGAAAAGGCGCCAACTTCGCCGATCAGAATCTCAACGTTGCTGGTAGTTTCCCAGGCTTGGCGCCTGTTTGATGGTTCCGATACTATTTCCGAATGCATACAGGATGCTATGATGTCGTCGCCCAGGCGAACTTGATATATCTCGCTCAGCCTCTAGTCGCTCAGCACAACTACGAGCACGAAGTCAAATCTGCTCGGAACTCGAATTATTGACCTATATACACAACTTCAACTAGTTTCTGCGAGTACCTGACTCCAAAACAACTTCATCAGATATCTCCATCATGCCAGCTAACGGAACACAACCCTGCAACATCGACGAGAACCAGGCCAAACATGCCCTCGTCAGCTCGTGGTTTCTCGGCCCGCGGGCTGAGAACCTCGACGTCCTGGAGAAGCTCTTCAGTCAGGCCCTCTTGCGACAGAAAAAGACCCGGATCGAACTCGCGGGCGACATTGACAAGGATATCTTCATCACAGAGGACATGAAGAAATTAGATATTTACCAGCAAAGCATTCATAGGCTCAGCAAGAACTCGGCAGACTTGTCGGGCAAGCTGGCGAAGCATTCTGTACCGTTCTGGTCGCCTCGATACAATGCTCATATGAACATGGATACCACGCTGGCGAGCATCATTGGGTGTAAGTCAGCGTTCACACAGTTGAAATGCAGTTCCTAACGCTTGTGGCTGTAAGACATGTCGACCATGATTTACAACCCCAACAATGTCGCAACCGAGGCAAGCCCATACACAACCGGAGTCGAGAGACAGGTCGGCCAGGAACTTTCTGAGATGCTGGGATATAATCGTCAAGACGAGAACCCCGCTCCCTGGGGGCACATCACCTGCGTAAGTAGCTCCGCTCATAGATCCCGCCCCTCACGTTTATGTCAAGGGACATTCATCATTTCTAACACGTTCTTTATGTTACTAGGATGGATCTGTAGCCAATCTTGAGGCTATTTGGGCAAGTATGGGTCCCCTGCATCTCTTTACGCAAGAAACATGATCTAATCATCCTCTCTTTCCCTCCATGTAGCGCGAAACCTCAAGTTCTACCCAATTTCCCTCAAGCTCGCCATCGAGAAAGGTCCCCTCAACTTCCTCAGCGTCGTCGAGCCGGCATTCGAGGTCGAAACTTGCAACGCCGGCTCGAAGAAGTTCATGGAACTCAGTAACAAGGAGCTCTTAAACCTAACGCCATCCACGGTGCTCTCAATCCCCACATTACTGGGTAAGAAGTACTCCATCAGCCCGGACTTCCTTCAGGACGCACTGAGGCCGTACCTGGTCCAGACGACGGGCAAGGATGAGTTGGAGCGCAAGTTGGAAATTAACCCAGGAAAGTACATGATTTGTGCGACAAAGCATTACTCCTGGCCCAAGGGCGGAGGTGGGTTACTCTATCATTTATCAACGTAGATGAGGCATCCATGTCGCTGACAGGCTCCCAAACAGCCATCTCGGGCATTGGATCCGAAAACTTCGTCGACATTAACGTCGATAACGAGGCTCGGATGAACCCGAAAGACCTTAGGGCCAAACTCGACGAGTGCATCAGTAATAACACTCCCATCTTCGGCGTCGTCGCCATCATGGGATCCACAGAGCACGGCGCGTGCGACCCACTCGCTGAGATCATCAAGATCCGTGACGAGTACCAAAAGAAAGAAGGTGTGTCATTCGCCGTCCACTGTGATGCCGCATGGGGTGGCTATTTTGCCTCACTGCTGTGGGAACGTGACGGCCGCGGTCCGGGCGACATCCCGTACGTGCCGGCGATGCCCCTGAATCCATACACCAAGACACAGCTGGAGGCTTTAAAGCACGCGGATAGCATAACGATCGATCCGCACAAGTGAGTCTTCTCCCTACTGGGTGTGCCTTGTATGTTTCCTTGCCTTTTCTGATATCCACTATCGCAGATCGGGATACATCAACTATCCTGCTGGCGGACTCTGCTACCGAGATGGGCGGATGCGATATCTCCTGACTTGGACGAGTCCCATTGTGTTCCACTCCGACGACGACAAGGGCAGTATGGGCGTCTACGGTGTTGAGGGAAGTAAGCCTGGCGCATCAGCTGTCGCTACCTGGCTTACCCACCAGTCGCTGGGACTTGATCAGGAAGGCTATGGCAGACTGCTCGGCGAGGCCATTTTCTCGTGCACAAAGGTCGGTTCAACCCTCAATTCCCTGCTTCTAGGTATCCTTCTGTGGGCTAACGTCAGTTTTCTCCAACAGCTCTATTGCCACTGGGTCACAATGACGCCGAAGCCTCAGGATCGGCCCGCTGACTCACTTATCGTTGTGCCTCTCATTCGTCTTCCTTCGGAGAGAACACCAGGCATCGGTGTTGAGGTCCAGAAAGACTACATCCGAAAGAATATCCTCGGCCGTGATAACAAGACACTTTTTGAGGACAAAAAGGCCTGGGATCTGCTGTGTGAGCTGGGAGGCGATCTCATGATCAATGCCTTTGCGACCAACTTCACGATTGACAATGAGGTGAATCAGGATGTGGTGAGTCAACTTGCCCCCACTCAGATAGGGGTTCACCCTACCATGTTGCGTCTAGACGCTGATGGACTGTGGTCAACTAGGGCGAAGCCAACTACCTCAACCAATGGATCTTCTCTAAGCTCTCCGTGTCATCTGAGAAGGACGTGGTCAAAGAACGACCGCTCTTCCTCACATCCTCCGAGTTTGGCGAGAAGGCGTACGGCAAGTGCCTAGAGACCTTCAAACTTCGTCTGGGTCTCAAAACAACCGACAAAGAAGGGAACGTCAAGCCCTCGCGAGGTAGCTTACGCTTCCTGGTCAACGTGACCATGAGCCCATGGCCCACAAGCCCCGACTTCATGAGCCGTATGGTCGAGGAGTTCCGCAAGATTGCTGAGCGCGGCGTGAATCGCGTCATCATCCGCAATAAGCGGACTCCCGACTTCCACGGTTTCGTCGTGCAGGGGTTAGAGAAGCTCTACTACACCCACATCGCCATGTTCAACATGGCCAATCATCGCAAGCAGCTCATTATTACGGCTGACCTCCCCGCGAACGTGCAGGCGCGGTACGAAGAGGAGCGCAGCAAGAACCCTGGCCAGTTTTACACCATCGCCAACATGGAGAAAGAGATGCTGGAGAACCTACTCGATGGTCTGCTCAATCCCGATACCGCATCCAAGCTCAAGTTTAGACTGGACAAGGGAATCCCCGCGGGTGATACGCCACCGTTGGAGGAGGGCTTCGCGCTGAGCAATGCGCGGGTGGTGGTTGATGAGTCAATGGCGTTCGCTGCGCTAGATGACGAGTACCCAGCCAAGATGCCCTTCTACCTCTACGGCAGCAAGAGTGAGGTCCACTTGGACCATATTCTTAAGACGGCACCGAACGCGCAAATCAGCGCTGACCTGGTCAAGACAAATCTGACTGAGCATCTGACTGACGAGCAGCTCAAGGAGGGTGTGGTCGTCGTGCTGGATGATGTGTTTGAAGCCAGCTTGCAGCCTTTGTAAGTGCCTCTTTCCCCTTAATGCAGCATCCTTTTATGAGAACATGACTAACAATAGACCCTACTTCAAACCACACAGGCCGACAACAGTACAGGAGTCAGACAAACAGAAGCATGTCCTGAATCTTGAAGCCCCAGGCTTCTCCCTGAAGAAGGGGTTCGACCACAAGGCGTCTGCGTACAAGACGTACGAGGAGGCGAAGAGTGGGAAGGGTCAGTCCATTGCTACGGGAACTATTAGCATTGGCGACGCCGTCTTCGCTGACTGGGATGATGTCAACATGGATCCTGCTGCTGACAATGACCATCAACGCTAAGGTGATTCTCACCACCACATGATCGGTTTGTGGCCTCCTTGGAAACCAGGACAAAGGAACGATATATCCGCGATTCCAGTGGTACCTGTATCATTCGTGGTGTGTGGGCTCGTTATCTAGTCGTAGATACGTAGATCTTAAGTGGTCATTCATATTAGGGGAGTTGTCGATCCATGCTTCCGTCGTCAATTGTAACAAATCGAG